CACAACAATCCTCTGAGGTAAGTGTGAGTATAAACTCTCACTTTACTTGTTTATTTTATTTTATTTTATTTTATTATTTTCTTTATTTTAAAAATGTGGCTGAGGTGGATGCCCATGAAGGTGCATCTTTCCTGCCACATTTGGACAGGCGTAATGGACAACAGCCACCACCACCACCACAAGTGTGATACCTCCCTCAGCTGACTTCAGTGGGATGATTGTTGCATGCTTAGCCTGAATTTAAAGACCTCACACATATTCATTCATTTAATCCTCATGACAATCCTCTGAGGTAGGTGTGAGTATAAACTCTCACTTTACTTGTTTATTTTATTATTTTCTTTATTTTAAAAATGTGGCTTACAATTCAGGATTAAGTACATAAGTGGTCTTCATACAGATGAAGTTTGGGCCTCCCTCTGATCCTCACTTTGCCTGGTTTTGGATCAGGTGCCCTTACTGATGCTATGTGCCCCCTTCCCTACCCAGCAGCGTCCTGCTACTGCCAATCCCTTTCTTATAGTATTATGATAAATGTTCAGGATCCACTTATGAGTGAGAACATATGGTGCTCAGTTCTTTGTTTCTGTGATAGATCACTGAGTTTGATGGACTCTAAATCCATCCAAGTTGCTGCAAAGTCTATAATCTTGTTCTTTATGGCTGCGTGATATTCCATCGTGTATATGTACCACATTTTTTTATCCAGTCCACTTTTGATGGGCAGCACAGTTAGTTCCATGTTTTGCTATTGTGAATAGTGCTGCAATAAACATGCTTGTGCAGGTATCTTTTTTTGTAGAATGATTTGAGTTCCTCCGGCTGTATTCTCAGAAGAGGGATTGCTGGGTCATATGCAAGTTGGATTTTTAGATATTTTAAGAATCACCACACTGTTTTCCACAGAGGTTGTCCTAATGTACACTCCCACTGAAAGTGTAGAAGCATTCCCTTTTCTCCACATCCTCTCCAGCATCTGTATAACCCCTCATTTTAAATGATTGAAGGGGAGCTGGGGAGAATATCTCTGTAAAAGGACATAGAACAAACACACTTTCTGGAATAGCTAGAGTTTGCTTTGAAAACGCCTTTGCCAGCTTGAGTGTTCTGATTTTACATAGATTGTATTTTTTAAATCAATAAAAGTAGATAATTTGGAGAAAACTATAATTCATATTTTGTAATATTATTGTTTTGAGGGGATCTCATGAGTGATGATGAACATGGGTAGTCTATAGTTCCCCTCCAAAGCCCACATGGGGTGGGGACAGAGGGGAAGTAGACCAATGAGTCCCTGAGGACTGGGAGTGGTGTTTAAATCAAAGGGAGGAGGCCCTCTGCTTTGGAGAATTAGAATAAAGGCCAAGAAATCAGAAGGATGCCCTTTTCATGAGACCATTTCTCAACATCTGTCTACCCCTTTGGCTACTTCTTGCATGAAGGGTGTTAAATTCACCCCTGCTGGGGAAGGTTCCTCTGGGACCCACAGGAAGGACTGGGCTGCCAGGAGTCGCTGATAGGAAGACGTCCCATCCCAGGAGTTCTCCTCCTGGAGCTACCTTGCCCTGGTTGTGTGCATCAGGAAATGGTACTGAGTCTCCCTGGGCCAAGTGACCCTGTAGTTGAACCATTCTTCCCCCTGCTTGCATGCCCAGGACACCCTAGTGCAAATAACAAATACACAGAGTTGGTCTAATGAGATGAGAGGGGCAGTCTTCGAAAAGCACTAAGAACTGTACAAATGTGAGGCTTGCCTTGTAAAAGATGTGAAAGCACTCCAAAGCAAAGGCAGAGTATGAATACTAGTTCTGACAATTAAGTTTGTTAACTCATCCTAGAAAAACTGCTACATACCTCACTGCTGAATATCACTACAGTCAACTTTGAAGCACTCCCCTTGGGATGGTATGTACTGAAGCCAGTAGCTAATCCACCCATCAAAGCAATTTTGGAACTCTTTCTGGAATGGCCATCAGAATTGTCATCACGAGAATGCTGGAGTTTGAATCAGAGCAATGAGCAAACATTAAAGTTCTTATTAAACTTGGCAAGAGTGGACGTGAAATCAGGAACATGTTAGTCCAAGTTTATGGGGATAATGCCATGAAGAAAATAGCAGTGTACACAGGTATTTAACATCTTTCTGAGTAGAGAGAAAGCGTCACTGATGAAGAGAGGTTAGGACAGCCAGTAACAAGCAGAACTGAACAAACACATTGCAAAAACTTATCGAATTGTGCATCAAAATAGTTGGCTGACTGAGAAGCATAGCAGACCAAATAAACATTGTTAGAGAAATAGTTAGGAAAATCTTAGCTGAAAATCTTGGCATGAGAAAGGTGTGGCAAAAATGGTCCCGGAGAAGCTCCTGCATCATGACAATGCACCAGTTCACAGTTCACTGTCTGTGAGGGAGTGTTTAGTCAGTAAGTAAATTACCATATTAAAAAATCCTCCCTACTCACCTGATCGGCCCCTCAATGACTTTTTTATTTACTCAAAGATAAAAGAAATATTGAAAGGAAGACATTTGATGGCATTCAGGACATCAGGAGTAATATGACAACAGTTCTGATGGCCAATCCAGAAAAAGAGTTCCAAAATTGCTTTGATGGGTGGACTAGGTGCTGGCGTCGGTACATAGCTTCCCAAGGGAGTACTTTGAAGGTGACTTTTTCTAGGATGAGTTTTCAAACTTAATTGTCACACCTTGTACCAAAGAAATGTATAGGAAGCAAAAAAAAAAAAAAAAAGCTCATGTTTCTAGCTCCTTCTATTTATGCTGTCCCTTCTTTCTCCTTCCCTGTTTTCAGATCAGAACCAGTGAAATCAAGTCAACTCCTATACTTCCAGTAAACAGCAGTACATTGCCCTGCCCCTGTCTAAAAAGAGAGAGCTTCCCTTTGGGCAGGAGTCCAGGCAGGGAGCACTGCAAAGCACCAAGACTTTGGGTTCTCCCTCGTTCCTACACCCCAGGTAGCTTGGCCTGACAAGGGCAGGCCGCAGGCACTGTAGATCCAGCCCTGGCCTAGCCCTAGAGGAGCACATGGTCCCTGCCCTCAGCTTACTCTAGAAGGTTGAGGATGCAGGACCCTAGAGACCTAGCAACCAGGACAGACAAACAACCAGAGCCAGCTCTGAGGCTTGGACTGGCAGGGGGCAGGAATGGAGAGAACGCTGGCGGGATGGGGGGTGCTGTCCAGGAAGGAGATGACAAGACAAACTGGTCAGGTGAGTAGTGAAAGGTGGTGCCTATAGAAACCTAGAAGAAACTTAACTTATTCTTAGTCTTTTCACCTCAGCATAACCATTAGAAAGCGTTCAGACATTCTACTGCAGGACAATCAGCAGCCTATCCCATCCCCCCTCGGCAAATTTCCATCAGATGCAAGACCAGGACAGCCCAACATTTCAATTCATGATTTAGCATAATAATCTCTAGTAAACTTTGAGGTTCCTTGTCAAGGCTGAAGGTCAAAGATCACCCTTTGGCTGGCCAAAGTCATAAAGTGGTAATAAGACCACCTTCGGTCAAGGAGTTTGTGAATTGAAATGCCTAACAAGTCTCTTGCAGGAAAGACCTCTCCAGGCCCAGACTCCCCAAGTTAACCTAATCAGCCCTTTGTGACCTACATGACACAGATAAACCCCACCAGGCAACAATCATGTGACCAACCCACCCATCTGCATGCGGTCCATCACCTGACGTCAGTACCTGCGCTTGCCTGGCCCTATGTGATGACATGGAGCAGACCACTACCCAATCACCTTAGTGATCTTCATCCATCAAGGGGAATGGTTAAAATGATTCAACCACAAGCAGCCAGCGGACATTGCTTTGCTAGACTCTGGTGTGGCCATGTGTTCTTTGAGCTATGGCTGTCGCCACGACCCCTGGCTTTGGCCCCTTTCACCACCTTGGGGAGGTGAGTCTTCGCTCTCCCTTTTCTTTCTCTCTTTAATTTACTTGTATTTTTTTATTTTTTATTTTTTATTTTTTTTGAGTTAGAGTCTCACTCTGTCACCCAGATTGGAGTGCAGTGGCCGCTCCTGGCC